ATAATGGGGCGCGGGCGAGCACACGTTTAGAGGAGCTACTACGGCACGAGAATATGGCTACCTGTCATACTCTTCATCGTCTCGACGCGCGTACTGAGCGTCAAACACGAATTCTCCTCTCTATCGACGCCACCGCATCCCCGTCATCACCGTGGCACCGTCTCTCTGAGTTCTGCCACCTTCTCTGCCGTGTCTTCACCTCTTCGCCCAAGGGCGAGCCTGGATCCCTTTGGCATCTTGGCGACTCCTGCGAGACAGCTCAGGAAGTAGGCTTTTCTATCATTGATGCATTTCCAGTACCCCTTACCCAGTCATTGCCTTTCACTTTATTTTTAACAAAAAATGTGCGCCTGATCCACTGAAGTAGTGTCCATGAAATATGATGTATTTGAATGTTAGCACTTTTCATTCATTGCGACAATCTGATGGACAAATATGTGCGAGTATAACCGTGGAAGCATAGTTGATGGCACTGATTTATGTTGCAAATGCTTGTGTGTAACGCTCAATGCTGCATCGTTTCTGTGAGCAATTTGAAGTTATTCTACATTGATGCGCAACGCTTCAGAGATTTAACTCTGCCTTACTAAGTTTAAATCTGTGTGAATAAATCGAGGAGTGAATCGGATCCTGTTACATGGGGGAGCTTCTGTACCCAGCCAAAACTTGTGTGCAAGATTGTGTTAGTGTTTATGTTCGCATAACTTATGCATGCATGTCTAACTTTACAATAAGGCCAATGAGTGTTTTCTCTTGTCTAGAATGAGGCGGCGACATTAAAACGCTTAACAGAAACGAAGCCAAACGTGCCAAATGTATTTATCCTCCTCGTGTGTACACAAGACGTGTCACCACCTTGCGATTCAGAGTTGCATTCCGGACAAGCGTGCGACTACTGGCAGATGGTGCTGGAAGCCTGCCATCTGACAGTGTTTATCGATGAACCTACTGAAGGGCCTCAACAAAGGCAAGATGACGCCGGATTAAGCAGCCTAATGGTAGCCATCGCCTTATTCTACTGCCATATTTCAACACCAGTCATTTGATTATTTTGTCATACCGTCCTTGAAGTTAGTGAGCACCATGATTCAAGGAGTAAAAGCACCACTTAATCAATCGTCCATTAGTAATTCATCCTCACAAAGCGAAAACACTGACATTGAAAAAAAGCAAAGGTAAAATCGACTTAGAAAATTAAAACATACGGTCGAAAACCTCGCGTCAGGACACCTTCTTCATTTTTAGGAAGCGCACTGCTCCACAGAGAGTAATCACTATCCAGATGCTGAGCCATCCGTTGGTGCGTGGCCTGTTTCATTGTCCTTCCCCGAGTTCTTCGTCGAGGAGCACCCTTTAGCTGACATAAATATCATCAAGCTTAAGCACCTTCTGACCCACATGGCCTTCCTAGGTATGTAATTTTAGCTTTTGTGCATTACTTTGCATCTATGAAAGCGAGGCGCAAATGAACTCGAGCTTCGGGTTGGGCACCATTTGGTTGGGTGCACAGTTCTAGAATGCCAAGTCAGAATGTTG